TAATTAGTTCAAAAACAATTAGTTTCAAAAACAATATATAGATCATGTCAGCTCGATAAAATACAGCGTATACGGCCATTTTAGAGGCCATGTTTACGTTTTGAAAAAGAACCGCGGAAAAATTGTATTTTTGCATGTAGTTTTTTTCCTAGGTGTGAAACATCCCCTAAAAAATCGTACAAACTGAAATCAAGTCATAATATATCAGAAATTTTTTAAAAGAAGACAGACTTTTTCATCAAAACATATTTTTTTAGCCTTGAATTTCAACATGTCAGCTCGACAAACTGCCGAGGATGCGGCCATGTTTACGTTTTGAAAAAGAACCGCGGAAAAATTGTATTTTTTGCATGTAGTTTTTTTCCTAGGTGTGAAACATCCCCTAAAAAATTGTACAAACTGAAATCGAGTCATAATATATCATAAATTTATCAAAAGAAGACAGACTTTTTCGTCGAAACATATTTTTTTAGCCTTAAATTTCAGCATGTCAGCTCAGTCTATTTCATGTGTAGATTTGGCATGCACATGTCAAAAACAAGGCCAAAAAAATGTTTAAAAATTAAAAAAGCCCATTCTCATTTGGTGATTTTCAGAAAACTAGGTACTTAAATTATACAAAAACATAAAAATAAAACTAGTTTTCATATATTGTGCATGAAATATTTAAAAGTTAAAAATTTTCCGTGCTTGTAAAACTGCGACAACAAACTATCGCTTGCTTGTATTTCATGTGTAGATTTGGCATGCACATGTCAAAAACAAGGCCAAAAAAATGTTTAAAAATTAAAAAAGCCCATTCTCATTTGGTGATTTTCAGAAAACTAGGTACTTAAATTATACAAAAACATCAAAATAAAACTAGTTTTCATATATTGTGCATGAAATATTTAAAAGTTAAAAAGTTTCCGCGCTTGTAAAACTGCGACAACAAACTATCGCTTGAAAAAAAAAACTTGCTGTTTTTTTCAATTTATGGCGCTTCATCTGGTGGAACTTGACAAAAATACATGTGATTGAACATACCTGATTTCCAAACACGCATTCCAGTTGCAGGTTTTACAACAACAGCCGTTTAAATAACTTTTTCTTCGTCTTTTTTTTCATCTTATAAACGAACGAAGTTGTTTTGCAAAAACAATCGATCCTCGTGAGTGAGATCCCAGACTTATATCACACTACAACATTCCCCATATAATCAGCCGTGATTAAGAATCCGGAAAAAAGATTTTGTCTATAGTAATAGCACAGATCCCAAATCCATTGTGAATTCAGCTTGAATTGTACCTTTTTACGTAGTAATTTTAAAAAGAAGTCAAAACAAACATGCATGCCTGATCAAACCACATCGAATTCGAATAAAAATGAAAATATGCGGGGGGACCTGCATCACACATAGATCAGGGGCGCCATAGCCGTTTCACCGCCCGTGTTTTACAGCGCCCTGCTCGGACATACTGTATGTCCGAGGTAAACATGGTTTGAGAGAATTTATCGAACATACCTAGGTAGGCATATGAGAATCGAGTAGATCAAGTAGACATCTGCCAAGCTATATTATTTTATACAAGGAACACTTGATCTGGCAATCCGTCATATACACTAGTCTATTTGGCATTACAACAAACATAATTTGATATAGAGACTAAGTCAAATGTAAGCCTTTGTATAAAAACTAATGTATTTATATAATTATATTGTCGCAGCGAATTCAAATTTTAAGACGGAACACATGCTCAAAATTCACGAATGAAGATAGTAAATATTTCCTTTCAAAATTGCTCTGTTATATAGAAAACAAAAAAATATTCTTACCTGGAAGTTACTCAGTCATCCCTGATGTTCCATCTTCGCTAAAATATACCATCTTCCAGTAAAATACTATAAATCTTTCGATCGAACAGATGAAAATTCACTGCATTTCAAAAATATGGCGGTGTGATCCAGTAGGGTCGCAGTGCTCGTAAAGTCGATTGTGATTGGTTGTTCGTAATTGGCGGTTGCGGTGGTTGCAGCCAATCATCAAGTGAAGAATGCTGCTGCAGGGAAACCCCATTGAAAAATTAAAATTCTGGAATATTAAAAGTGTGAAATCACAACACTATGAATATGAAGTTTTTATGGATGATTGGATGAACTATTTTATGAGCACTGCGACCCTACTTACTCATGTTACAGTCTTACCAGTGAGTATATAAAATATTACAATTATTGTATTTATACTTGCATTCGAAAATATTTTCGTATTAAAAAATGGCGAGTTCGCGACAGTCCGATCAGGCAGTACATGCGAAAATCTACTGCCGAGTATTAATACTTCTAGCTGAAGGAAGGTTATAGATCGAATATTTTACCACAACAATAAGTAGTATTTACAACATGAGCGGCCGTGTTGTTATCGGATATACAAACTAGAGCCAAAGGAGAGTTAAATTAATATGAAAGTTTTTGAGGAGCTTTAGTTAATATACAATATATCACTATTTTTCACATTGTAGTAACAAAAGGTTAGAAAGACTGCGAGAAAATTTTTTAAATGAGTTTATAGTTGATTATAACAGCAAATTTAGCTTGTTGGGTACAAGTAATTTATTTTTATACTGTGTGTCAATGAATGACAAAAACATTAATCCTACGGCCAAGTACATATACGAAATTATGAATATTTTTTTAGATCTTGCCTGCATCTAGCTCTTCCTTAACTTGTCCTTGTTTAAATTTTGTCATTGTTGTAAATATTATTACTCTTGTTCCATTATGTTATTTTTATATAGCTTATAGACATTTGCTGTATTCTTTATATACCAGTACTGGTATTTTTAAGTTGACAACCTTATGTCTAAAATCGCGAGTATATTTAAAATGTTTATAAAGAGTGTACAAGTTGTTAATTGTTTTGATAAACTTTCGATTAGATTTCGATAATTTTGTCGACTTGGATGTTATAACGTGAATCTGTGCGAGTATAAACGTGACTGAAATTTAATACTAGAATATGGTTTCTTTCTTTATCAGGATATTGAATAGGCACATTATCAATATTAAAGAATCATTGGCCCAACATGCTACAAAAAATATGGATATAAAAGGCCTTGGTTAGTTTTTAATAGCGTTTAATAGGAACAAGAGATGTCAGAAAATGAACATGAAATGCCTGTGTCTACAGTATATAAGAACAAGTTGAATAGTGCATGTTAATTTCAGTTTTTTTACTCTCACTATGTTTCACTACTACCTGCATGATTTAATTTAACCTCGATTTAATGAATGTGAGAGAGAAATTATGTACTTTAATATTAAATTAATATTATATGTTAATTATAAATATTATATGTTTCCAAATTTAACCTATTAACTGGAAGATTAAAAGATATTAACCCATTGAGCCACAATGCACCCTACTTATACAAAAATATGACAATTTAATGTCTCTAGTTACGTACCATTGAGATGCAGTTCCCCCCACTTAATTTTTTTACTGGTCTAAATGCCAGATGATTTTACTCATCAGTCGGGAAGCTATGCAGCTTAATGGGTTAAAGAGTATTTGCATGAGATCAATATATTCTAGTTGTAATAATTATAGTGGATTAGCAAGCAACAGCCTAGAATCAAATTCAGCCCTGTTGACCAGGATGAAATTTCAGCCCTGCTTTACTACTATAAAATACCAATAAAATTTGTGATTACATGACAAATTTTCAACCCAAATGAAAATTCAAGTGAAATTCCATCCCGGTTGAACTCACTAGCCCCTGACACTCACATGCATATATAATTAACCTTGGGGCTGAAATCGTCCATGTATTGTAAAAATTTTCCAGCCCATTCAACAGTGCTTGATTGATATTGATTCAACCAGGGGGTTGCTAATGCTTTCTATAATCAGTCCTTAATTGCTTATGGATACAGTTATGTAACATTGATGTTTGTTTTTTTCTATTGTAGTACTTGTAAGTTGTTAAAAACATTTGTTATTCATATGAACAAAAATTGCTATTAAATTTATATTTTGAATGTTTGGATTAATGACTCTCCTTTCTTCCAGCAGTATTTATAAGCAATTTAGGGTGATTGTGAATATAAGAAAGGGTGTGGTAAGAAAAGGTCAAATCGAAAATATTGTTTAAGTGGTTGGACATAGTTTTTGTCTTTAAATAACTGGTATAAATGTAATATCACATCTGCTGTGATATTGTTACCACATTAATCTACTATGGTGCTACCTAGTTATAAACTAACCAATTCTCATGGCTTTAATGATACAAAATAATCTGATATATCAAAATCCTTTTAATGTCTTAAATTACAAACTCCTGCATGTGGCTTGAAATGGACAAGCATTTCCTCTGTAAATCCCATTATATATTATATTTATTAATCAGAAGAGACTGATAAGTTCTCCTTGAGGAGCTTTTAAATAATAATTAAAAGCTATGATTAGTATAACTAGGATTACAACAATTCGCAATCTTGACTTCTTGGTTTTTCCTATGCTTTTCCAATGATGTTGGCGTAACCGCAATTCGTCATTGAAATGCCGATGCCATGGTCACAGCCATGCAGGGGCGTGGCTAAGAGGGGGGCGGGGGTGCCGCATCCCCCCAATGCCGTGTCCGTCGGCACAATAAATCAGTTGTCAGCAAAATGAATTGGATCAAGCCAATAGGCAATACCTGATTGGAATGAGATTGTTTGTAGAAAATTTGTAGAAAATGCGAGATCGAAAAGATGGATATGTCGACTGAAAGCTCGGTCCTTTTCCAAACATTCAGCCAAATTGGCCAAGAACTTATTACTCTAATACGCTATTTAATAGTGTGAAATAATATTTGTGAAATATGATACCATAGGAAACTCGAAGCACATGTGCGTGTTGACTGTTGATGCGTCTGCGCTTCATTTTATAATTTTGTAAAGCCAGTACCTAACGGTCTTATATACAATGAGAAATACGAAGATGATTTAAAAGAATGGACAGTAGCAAGTAAAAACGCAAACGGAAGAGAGAGAAACTGACGTGTTTAGTTTGTAATCGGTCGTTTGATGACGATTGGATGTGCTTTTTTGACATTTATACCAGGTATTTTAAGGAACTATTTCGCCTATTTAAAAAATAAATTATCTTACTACTCGGATTTCATCGTTATACATCACTTAAAAATGAATACGGTTTGTTTTGACCACGCCCTAACAACGTGCTAGCCACGCCCTTTTGTCGGCAAAAAGTTATCTTGCACCCTCCGAAAAGGATAGTCTTCGCTCCGCCCCTGTTAATATCTAATCGTTCCAACCCTGTTAGATAGTCAACTTCCGGCATAATAATTGATATAGCTCTTTTCTCGAGACGCACTAACTCACGCTTCAGATATTGGGGGAGACAATGGTAAAAGGCAGGAATCGCGTAATCCACAACTGACCTGACACACGACGTATAGAACAGCGCTAAATCTTGTGGTGGAACTCTCGCCCGTTTTAATTGCACTAAAAAGTACACTCTTTTATTCACTTTCTTTATAACCTCGTCCACATAAGAATTCCAAGTAAGGTTGTCCTTGACAGTGAGTCCTAGCAGCTTTACTGTTTTAACAACTTCCAATTCTTTCCCATTACTGGTTAATGGATCAAAGATTGCTGGTTGATTCGCGAACGA